AGTTGGATCTTTCTATGATTGTCAAACATGGTTTACATAAAATGAAAGAAAGATCATTTTTGAACATTCATACAAACTTCTCTTTAAAAACGATTATTAATCCGTAAGTAAAATGTTATAATTGAGTAGATTTTTCAAAGTAGAATGTCTTAATAAGAAACATGCATACCTCTCGTTACCAGGGAAGAGATTGAAACCATGGCCTTTACTCAAATGCGAGGCATTAATTGAAAGTAAGTTCATGCAATTCTGCAACCCAATAAATACACATTAAAAAGCTTATTAAAGTTAAATTGATAAATAAAGTCAAAAAGAGTATCTTAGTAATTAATCATTTTTGAAAGAATGAGATCTAGAATTAGTACGTCTTTGAAGCTTTCCCAACCACAACTTATATATGTAAGTGTTTGAGGTAATGAACAAATTTCTTCTTGTGTGGTTCTACTTGGAATTTCAATTGAATATTCTCTTGCTCATAAAATCCAATGTCTTTTTTCATCTTTTGACTTGAAGGTTGGGCTAGAAAACAAACCACGCTGTAACTTTATATTATTCACTTATTAAAAAAGTTAATTACTAAAAGTCAACTAATTCCTGAGTATTTCTACCTTTCAAGTGTCTGGTTTTACACTCTGCTGATCTAATGGCATGTAAAAGCACTAATCAAATATGGGCCAGGCCCCTTTCTAAAAGGGTCAAGGTCAACCACAAGAACTTCTGACCCCACAAGCCAAGAAAGTGGTCTTGAGAGATATTATACATAAGCAAATTACAGAAATGTTATATGAGTATTGTTGTATTTACATTTAGTATTTTCCCATAATGTAAACAAATAATAAGAATATGTATATGAAGAATTCGAGACTAACAATTGAAGTGTCAATGGAATTTGGTAATTGGTCAATTTTATTCTCAAAAGCTAGCTTGGATTCCTTACTGATCTCCACACATCTAACTGATCTAAAAATATCAAGATTGAAAGATTTAGTTAATGAAATGGAACTTCAAAACAATCAGAACAACATATGAACACTTATTTCCTGCATTTTTTTTTTTGCAAAAGCCAGTGACATAGGTCAGTAACAAATGCACCAAAAGTGACATATTTATGTTTTTTTTAAGAAAGAACCAAAATCCTGAAAAAAACATTTATAATAAACAAAAGATAAGAATAGTAAGATAAGCACTATGGAGCCAAATATACATCACTTCCTCCACATGCTCCCAGAAATCTCTCTCATAATATATGTCTCCACCTATATTAAAATCAAAACATTAAGCTTATTTCATAGAGACTTTAAGTTAACAATACAATATTTAAAGGAGAGAGAGGTTAAAAACTATTATGGTAGCTAAGTTATTCAACTTTTCAAAACTTGCTCAAGTTTCACTATGTCAGCTCCAAACTATAGAAACTTGTACTTTGCCTGTAAATTTACAAACAGTTATTTCAATTTTGACCTTCAAGATATTTTCAAATAGTCCAACTTGTTATTTAAATATCAGATGAACAACTAAATAATTTTGTATCTCTCATAAGCATGGAGAGGTGTGTTTTATGTGGTGAGAACCATCTACATATAACTATAAACTTAGCATATAGACATGCCACCTACTCATGACTAATAAATAAGCTTCATTTACACCGAAAACGTGATGCACCTGGACATATCTCAAATAACCAGTCCGTTCATCTTCATGATAAGGATCGATCTTCATATCATTTTCTAATCGTAGTAATCACCAACCACACACACATCAATTTCTGAATCAAGAACCAAAAAACGTATGATTACACCAAATAGAATGAAATCAGATGTAAAATCATTGTAGTTAACAAAAATAAAAAAGAAAAAGAAAAAGGAAATAAATAAAAATCACCTATCGTTTTTAGACTTCAATAAATCCCTAAGATGAATAGCTGTAAGATATTATTATCCGGGACCAGGAAGTGCCAAATAGTGTTTGCCGAAGGCACAGAATGGCGAAAAAAGAAAAATGGGTGTGCAAAAGAATCGATTACTGACGTCATTCTTCCAATTACCATTTAGGTTTTGTGTTAACATCGACATAGGGTTTTTCCAGGAGTATAAATCAATAAAGAGGAGAAGATAAACGTTTTTTGCAATTGCAATGAACTTGAAAGATGAGTTAATTATTTGAACTCAATCACTCTGGTTAATCACTTTGGTTATGAAGATTATATATGGACGGATTGAAGTGAGCATCGTGTTAATCACTCTGCCACCGCCAACAACTTCCCGCCTCCCCACCAAGATCCCGGAAAACTCAATCACTCTGGTTAATCACCGTGTTAGTGAGCATCGACATGGTATATTTAGAACAATCAGATCAAATCATCAAACAACTACGTAAACGAACTCTAGAACTGATTTACAGAGCGATCATAAGTGGAATTGTTTACCCGATCTCTGAAATATCATTAGCAGACGTTGTCATCGTTCTGAAATGTGCGGAAAAACAAATCTGAAATCTGAAATGTGAAGTCAGTAAACCACTCGAAATGAATCGAAATGGAATCTTGAAACGAATGTGCTTCGAGGTGTCTGACAGTCTTAAAAGAAGTTCCAAAACTTGAGATTTGTATGGTGGCTTCTATTTCTTCCATAAAATACCAGTGAAGTTGAAGAAGAAAGTGCACAACCATAGTTTATAAGAGTTGATTTGGAGATGATTTTGTTTTAGAACCCTAATTTCCTCCAAAATCGTTGATTTGGAATTGCTTGCGAGATTTGGGGATTTCAAATTTGAATTAGTATTTGGTTTCCAAAATCAAGAAGGCAAAATTAAAGGAAACAGTGAGTAATTTGTGGAATAAACAGATAAGTATTGAATAATCAGGTTTCGTGTACATTGCACAGAGTTGACTTGACCATAGATGGGCAATATAGGAAATTCAGTTAGATGAAATCAAATGAGCGGGGAAAAATCGATTGGAGGGGCTAAAAGAAAGCCACGTGTCAAAAATCTTCTTATTATATATATATATATATATATATATATATATAATATATATATATATATATATATATATACTAGGTTACGACCCGTGGAAACCACGGGTAAGATAGAAAAAAACAATATTAATAATTAAAAATGGTAATAGAAAATCAAAGATTTAAAAATTCAATGAAATTAATAAGATATATGTTTTGTTTAGACTTCTATATTAGTAATTATTTAGAAATAGATTGTAATAAGAAGTTAATAACTTGTTAATTTTTTGTCATTTTTTCAAATTTGGTCCTTTGTTAACATGGAATTTTACAATAAATAGCAACCAAGTTTTACATTTTTCGTGTATGTTGAAAATATATGCATATAATATAAACTTATAAACCATAAATGGGAACATATATCAATTATCAATTAACCGTATATTTAGGGATGTGATTAGATAGGCACTAATTATTGCTGAAATTAGCATATTTTTTTATTGTGCCAAAGATAAAATCAAACTAATTTTACCATTTTTGCCGTTAGTAATTTGAATCCCTGCACACACGGTTGATTAGTAATCAATTTTCCAGCAAAATAGAATTTGACATGCTATCTCCATAGTGCAATTCCTATAATTTAGGAATACACTCTTATCTTCCAATTTTAAATCTGAATTTCCAGCAAAAATAAATCAACTTAATTGCAATCTATATCATACCTTATATATATTGAAATTTATATCAAAGAGGGGCAAAAACGGTATTTAACATTGGATGAAATCAGTGTTTTTGAAGGGACACGTGGCATATTACTTTCGTTTATTAGATAGGGATATATATATATATATATATCAACTAAAAACCATTATTAAAAAAGTCTTTTGGGTTGTATTAGTTAGAAGATGATGGTCTCAAATATATCATATTTATACTTTAGAAAAATGATTATCTAAAAATAATAATAACCGAATTAACAAACCAAAGAGATCTAGATAGAATATGACATTAATAGACTTTTTTATTAATTGATTACTGTATTATATAATAATGATGGAATATGACATTTTTAACTAGAATTTTATCACCATTATTGTCTGTTGCCAACGAAAATCCACTGTCATCTTTCTATTAAATTAACTCCCAGTTGCTTACATAAAAAACTAAATCGTTTATGGAATGCTAATATTAATGATAACTTGTGATGTATCATGTATGATTCAAACTTAAGTGTAAAATGGATGGATTCAACTCGTTTCGAGATTAGTTAAAGAGTTATTTCTTTATTTATTTTTATTATTTTTATTTTTTTGATTGTGAACCGGAGGTTACTTCTTGTACCGAGATTAGTTAAAGAGTTAATCAATCCATTATTTTTTTTGGAAAAAAAATACATATCATGCTTGATTGGTCCGTTGAATCAAATTGTCTTGAGGGTAATTCTAAATGTATGATGCGCCTCCGGTTTCACCTTCCATCTCTTATGAGAGTTATCTCCTTCACGATTAAGTTAACCCGGAGACAGCAAACAATTCGTAAGCTGATTGGCAGGGAGGGGGTCCCGAACCAATGCTCTGATGATAAAGTCAGAAAAGACCTTGAGAGAATATATTGAAAATCAAATGGAGTTTGATAGAGTGGTGTATATGTGTTTGCGTACCTTGTAAAGTGATGTTCGTCACTTATTTATAGTCGATATTTAGGGGGTTATGACATCTTCTTGTACCGAGCAGGTTTGTCATCTTATGGTATTACTTAAAAAATATTATAAAGTCATAGTTGTAACCGGATAGGAATAGACACCTAAATTAAACTTTGACATGACAGTTTGGCGGCTTCTAGTGTTCATCATTTCCTATAACGGTCTCCTCAATTCTTTTCCATTTAAGGAGGATATAATATATAATTGCCACCTTGTTTTCTCCACAAATATAGCTTTGCTTGATCCCTATAAATACCCCCTTGGTTAGTTACTTTTCTTCAGTGCCTGTAATTTTCTTCTTCAAATTACTTTTCACTCTTTCTTCTTCATTTTACTTTCCCATGGCTAGCAAAGAAATTTCGAGCATTCGCACTATGAAGTCCAAACTTACCCCTAAGAGCCTTTCTGATATCATGAAAAGGTACCATATTGACCCTGAATTTCGCCTTCGTTTGCCTAAGCTTGGGGATGCCATTGTTGCCACCCCAGAAGGGTTTGTTGGGGTGTATCGTGTTTTCTTCAAACCGGGTCTACGATTACCAACGTTTGAGTTTTTGGAGGTGGTTCTGGACTACTACCACCTGCACATCGCCCAGATTACTCCAAATGGTTTTCGAAAAATCATTTATATGTTGTGCTCTACCTTAGATTTCATGCCCTTTATCACCGTATTCCACCAAATCTATGTCCCTATTTCCAATGGTGATTAGATATCCTTTTCTCTCTGCCTTGGTCTGGTGGAGATCTGGGAAGGCCTTCATACTTCTATAAAGTATTGGAAGGAAGAGTTCTTCTATGTCGTTGCCTCCGCCTTTGCTGGGCCTATAGTGTATGGTGTTACTGCTGATAGGATGCCGATCCCTCTCTTGATTTCCCCTAAAGAACAAAGCATTGCAAACTGTTTAAGAATTTTGTTAAGTGGACTGAACCTGAAGAGGTAATGTTAGGTATGGTGGGGATCAGTTCCTACTGGAACAAATTAGGGAAGAAACCAGTGGAATCCCTTGTGAGCCGATAAGTCACTTTACTGGAGCGAGTGCATCGCAAATGTTTAGTAAGTTCTGCTCTGGTCACAAAGGAGGTTACTATTCCCAATTCTCATTCTCAATCAAAATCCAGTATGGATTCTAATATTAACCATACTGGTCAAGATATTGTCGTGCCTGTCATTCCCCCTCCTCCAAAAACATTGTGAAGGCGGAGCATAACTAGTAGAAACCTCCATCTTCTTCGACTAGGGTAGTATTGAGAGCTCAATTTTCCAAAAGAAAAGCAGGGACTAAGAAAATTGTTTCCTTGTGAGGGGTAATGGATCGTCCTAAGAAGGTGATCGATTTATCTTCCCCTAAACGCAAAAGGGCCACCCGTGGTAATGAAGCAAGAAATTGTGGTCTATTGTCGTCTGGGAATCATCCTTTTTCTGAGTCTGTCAGTGCAGGGCCTTCTTTGGAAACATCTACAACAACTACTCTTCATTAGTGTACGGTAATTACTGCTCCTAAGTTAAAACATGCCAAGTTCTGGTGCTCCTCTCTCTTTTACTTCGGAAATTCCAGTTATTCCTAAGTTTGTTGATCCATTGCCGAAAGATCAAACTCCTTCCACTTTATCTGCTACTCCTGCCTTTCATCAAAAGCTTTTTGGAGTTGGCTTTGGACTTTTCTAGGCATCCAATGTCGAGTCCACAACTGTCACGGTGGATCCTCTTCCATATGGTTCGGATGTTCCTGGCAACTTGAATCTTACCCCCGTGGAAATTTTCGACACTACTCCGTTGTTTGGGGACGATTCTAATCCAGAATCAACTGCTAATGCTTCTCAGAAATATGGCGTGTTTATCTCCATACATCCTTTCATTTTACCTTTTCCTTTTATCTTTCTCGATGCTGACGTGTGTGTTGTTTATTTCAGTGTTGCCTCTTTTGAGAAAGAGGCTCCTATGCCTATACTTGTCACATTTGCAGCCTCTTTACCCCTATTCCAATGACATTTTCTAGGACCCCTGTTCCCAAAGGTCCTGAGCTAGCAAGTACATCGGATGAAGAAAGCCTTGATAGGGCTCGCTCATGTCTAATGGAGGGAATGCATTTATTGAATGATTTTTCTGCTTACACTCGGACACATGCACATATTCTTGCCAATCAACAACTCAAATTTGAAGAAGCCTTTCAGGCTTTGAAAGGCACGCAAAATAGCCATGAGCAATCGGAAAAAGAGACAAATAAATTATGTGACGATTGAGAAATTCCTGTAATCAACCGTTATTAGATATTAGCATCGACAAATGATGATAATAGAGCTTTTCATATGTCAAGAAAAATATGATCAGTTATATGATAGGGTCAAAAAAGGGTGACCAAAAAGTTACACCACTTTTTATAATGGTCAGTACACAACAAAGTGGTCCCAAAGATATAAACTTTGTAAAATTCAGACTCCGATTGGAGGAGTTATGATTTTATAACAAGTAAAAATCAACCGTGTTAATAAGACTATTAACGTCAAAAAGGCATAAAGAAATCGGTTAAGTTTTGTATAACAACACTAAAAGGAAAATCTTAATACTTCGAGAGATAAGAATCTTAAAAGGAAGAAGGTCAAAAAAGGAGTTTGTATGAAGAAGATATGATTTTTAGAAAAATATAAAATACGGGTTAAAAATAAAAGTTAAAATTTGGCAGCGCAACCTTATGGAAAGTTGTAGTACTAGTAGAGAGCTACACAAATATATAAAGAGGGTAAGAAACAAGTGTAACATCCCGACTTCCAGGTATGATATTTATTCCTTAAAAGGCAAATTCCCCTTGGAACTCGTCGAGTTGATGGCCTCAACTCGACGTGTTGAAGGCTTTTGGGTCGCGCATATTTTTGGACCAACTCGACGAGTTGGTGAGGAAAACTCGACGGGTTGTTGGCTGATTAAGAAACCCTAATATTTAGGGTGTTGCACCCTATTTAAAGGCCTTATACCCTTTTGGCCGACCTCCTTATCAGTCTCCTCTGTCCAGAAGAAAACCTAGTTCGTGCATCCTCTCCCATATTTGTGTGTGTGTGAGCTTGAAGAGTGATTTCTTGGTGTTCTTTTGAAGGAGCTTGAAGTTTGAGGTGGCTTGATTGAAAGGAAGGATTTAGATCCAGAACCTACTCTTTTGTTGCAGTTATTTTGAGGTATAAAGTCGACACCTTGCTTATCTATTGCTTATCAGATCTACATTTTAAAGCATTGGACTTGATGATAAAGTCGACACCTTGCTTATCTATTGCTTATCTATTGAGGTATAAAGTCGACACCTTGCTTATCTATTGAGGTATAAAGTCGACACCTTGCTTATCTATTGAGGTATAAAGTCGACACCTTGCATATCTATTGCTTATCAGATCTACATTTTGAGGTATAAAGTCGACACCTTGATTTCTTGGGTATCAGATCTACATTTTAAAGCATTGGACTTGATGATAAAGGACTGAATGTGTTAAGCTGGGAAAACTCGGCGAGTTTTCCAGCCAACTCGACGAGTTGGATAGGGTTTTCCTGCTTTTCTGAATACTGTAGGAATTCGATGAGTTGGTAGGTGCACTCGACGAGTTGGGTTAACATGAACTGTTGACCTTGACTTTGACCATGGTTGACCAAGTTTGACTCTTGAGGTCATTTTGGGTATTTCGGGGTTTTGATGGGGTTGGTCACATGGTGGTTGTAGGCATTTGTGTCCGGAGCTGAGTTTTGGAGTTGGATTTTACCGGTTTAGCACTACTTGTGAGGTGAGTTTTCTCACTATACCTGCGGGTCGAAGGCACCAATGTCGGCCCTTGGATTGATATCTCGTTATGCATGTTATGCTATAGTGATCTGGTGCATGTTATGCTATAGTCATATGGTAGATCAGTATCCTGGTAGTTAGGATGATGTTATGTTTGTGATCTGTAAGATCTGTTTATTTGTTTGCTAGCTGGTTAATAGTATGGTTATATGTATTATGTGAACATGATTGATTGGTGGTTGAGGCTTCACTTATTTGTGCGTAAGCCAACAGGCCGGAGCATTCCAACTCGATGGTTAATGGCCTAGGGTATTCTATCCCGAGGATGATTAGACACATAGTATATTGACATTCCAACACGATGGTTGAGGGGCCTGGGGTATTCCAACCCGAAGGTTGATTGGGCCCATAGTATGTTGTTACTATATTTTGTGCTATTTGTTATGTATTGGCAATTTGGGGGAAACTCACTAAGCTTTGGGCTTACAGTTTTGGATTATGTTTCAGGTACTTCAGAGGATCGCGGGAAGGCGAAGGCGTGATGGTGCACCTCCTCATATTTTGTTTTACGATTTTGGGATTTCCCTGATATAAAACTTATTTTGAAAACAATTTGTAAACAATGATGGTTTGTGGTATGTTTTACAAGTTTAAATTTTTCAAGAATTTTTCGAATGTTACAAGTTGGTATCAGAGCCTTGGTTTGAGTGAATTGGAGGAACACTCGTGTGAGTCCAGTCTCAAACTAAGGAAAAGATTTTCAAATGGTTTTCAAAATACTCAAGGATGATGCGATGTGTACGATCAGCCGGAGCAAGTAAGTAGACCCCAAAATACCATACTGTTGTTTGATATTGTGTTATGTTAGAATAGCATGCTAGTGATATGCTAGGGATCTTCAGGAATTTCATGATAGAATTGCCTGATTATATGATGCCTGGTAGCCTAGGACCTTTCTTTTATGTGACTGGCATCATTACTGTAGTTGCTTAGTGTATGCATCATGATTATATATAACTAAGATCCTATAGCCTGAGAATGTTGATTTGGCCTTATTTTTTGTTCTTGTTTGATGAAGGGCTTAGGGTAGGATCAAATATTCGAATGTCTATAGGGTCCAGTGTTATGTATGGCTAGCATACACGAGTGTTGCAGGGTTGGTGGACGTTTCATGGGTGAGTTGTGTGGGGTCAGCCGGCCAGTTGTAAGACGTTTAGCTTTTCCTCTAGGGAGTGAGGATGGAGTGTTCACCTATGTTTATGAGTATTTTTAGGGCACTGTAATGATCCTTGAGACAAATTCGGGTAGGTGTGGAAGGTAGTATGGGCCCGTACTACTGGAAGCACAGGACCCGTACGTGTAGCAAGGAAGCCACAACCCCTAGGGCTTCATGGGAGTTGGTTCCCCGTTATGATATGTGGATTATTTGATATCTTCCTGGTATATTTTCAGTATGGTGACTGCAAGACGATTTGAGATCGGATTTGGGTCGGGATCGGGAGCTGGTAGTCAGGGTAGGCCAGCATTGTCAGAGGACCGCGTCATTGAGATCATCCGCGAGGAGGTGGTTGCTATTGTCCAAGATCAGATCCTAGAGATGTTTGGGTCTATCAAGACCGCGATGATGGAGTTCTTCGATGATCGCTATACAAGATTTGACTTGTATTATCCCCCAAAAATACTAAAACTCGAAAAAGTAGGGGTGTGAAGCTCACCTTGAGTTGGTTGATGGGTTGGTTGGAGTGATGGGATGAAGATTTCAAGCCTAAGTTCTTGGATGAGTTGAGGAACTTCCTGGGAAAAAATGTTGTCCTAACACCTTAAGGAGCACTGGAAGAGTTGAGCCTTAACAAAATCCTTGCTTTTGTTCTTGAATGAAATATTTGAGAGAATATGGGGGAAGTGGGAGAAGTGGAGAAGTTTAAAATCTCCCACTGTCGTTGCTTTAAGAGGATAAGGAAAAAGGGAGAAGGGGTAGGTGCATGGAAAATTGGAAATCTATTGGTTCAAACATTGTTATTTGGTGGTTCTTGCATGGGTGAATTGCATGGGAAATGGGTATTACATCCCATCATAAAGTCAACCCCTTATCACTTTATGTTTTAATATAATACTTTTATAGATATTAATTATTATTTTATGTAAATATGTTTTCAATTACTCAAATTTAGCATAAAATAGTGGTTAAGGAGGTCTAAGTAATGAAAAATACGAGTTTGGTGGGATTCCCGACGTCAAAATTTCCTAAAATGAAGAGAAGTTCCGAAATGGTCAAAAATCTGGAGCCAAAAGTGAGTTCCAGAGTCAGATGGGCGAGTTCCGAAGTCAATTTCCATTGTTCCGAAGCTCCTCTCAGGTTCCGGAGTCAGCTCTGATCCGGAACCAATTCCTTCCGAGGCTGCGAGTCGAGACCTTCCGAAGTAAACACGAAGGCCCCGAACGAGGTTGTCCGAATGAGAGGTTATTCCAGATCGAGATTGTCCGGTGCAAGGGTATTCCAGAGTCCATCAGAAGGTCCGAAGCAGGGAGGGGTTCCGAGATGCGAATCTTCCCGATTCCTTAGAAGGTATTCCGGACTAAGAGGGTTCCGGACCAAGAGGGTTCCGGACCAAGAAGAGAGGTTCCGAAAATGAATAGTATATTCCGGAATGGGCTTGTTATTTTGAGTTTTCTCCTCTCGTTTTGAGTTGTTTTTGACTAAGGAAGATACATAGAGATATTTAGGAGAGATTTGATATACATGGAGAGATTTGGGAGAGATTTGATATACATGGAGAGATTTGGGAGAGATTTGATATACATGGAGAGTTTTGGGAGAGATTTGATATACATGGAGAGATTTGATATACATGGAGAGATTTGATATATATATGGAGAGATTTGGGAGAGATTTGATATACATGGAGAGATTTGATATATATGGAGAGATTTGGGAGAGATTGAGAGATACATAAATACTTTGTATTATAATAATACATGGTTCATTAGGACCCATAATATAACCCTTAATGCATTGATACAAGCCTTACAATAATTGGTGCTTACATGAGAGCAGAATTTCCTAGCTAAAAAGGCTAGTTGTGACAATATTAAATTAGAATATACCTTCTTTGTAGTTTATAAATTTTAAATCACAATTAAATAATTTGGTTTTGCTTCTTCTGTAAAGTTGGATAATATTATAATTATATGTCGTTTTAAAATGTTCTGGTTTTTTAAAATCGAATTATAAAAACCGATCCAATTGAATTGTAATTGGATCAAATCAGATTGGATTTGAACATAGTTTGGACTATTTGGATTCATTTTTGAAAACTGAAATCAATTTGGATGTATTTGATTGGATCGGACCGAACTGATCCATCCAAACGAACACCCCTATACCTTAGCGACCATTTGTGTAAGTTTTTTATATTTTATATTTTTTATTATATATTTTTGTCTTTGTATTATACCTTTCAACAGTCCCACTAAACTACGGAGGGTGCAACATAGCATTTAAGACCGGACAGTATCATGGGCGGGGAAGGGCGCGAGAACAGTCCCGCACGGCGGAACACCGCACCGTCGGTGCGGGGAAGGGTGGTGCGGGAACGGCTGAGGGATCCCTTTGCCGCGTTCTCCCTCCTTCGTTGATTGGTCGAAATGCTTTTTATTAAGTAGCCGTTAAAAAACGGTAATATATATATATATATATATATATATATATATATATATATATATATATATATATATATATATATATATATATATATATATATTACCATGACTATATGCCTTTAAATGTAATTTTTTTGTTTTTTTACCCTCTACAACCACTATAAATACTCATACTTATTTACCTTCGATCAAACCTTCAAACAAACCCTCTACAACCTCTATTTTCTTCAAAAAAAAAAAAAAAAACGAATCCCGACAATCAACCCCAACCTCTGATAGAAGGAAAAAAACTCATGTTTCGAGTTTAAGCACCTCTACTCGAAACATTTTTGCTATCGATTCATCATCACAAGGAGTTTATCGTCCCCAACTCGATGCTCCGATTCAATCTCCACTACAATTTTAATACCAAAATGTTAGACAATATTACCTGGTCCAAGTTCCAAATGTTACTCCGCAAATGTTTTCAAACTTTGTTGTTTTTCCCGATCAACATTCGCCAAATCAACCTCAAACCCAAACCCAACCCCAAACCTAACAACAATTTCAACTTGTCGATGAGTTGGATGACTCGGAAGAAGAAGAGATGATTCCCGAAACTCAACCCACACCACCCCCACAACGACGCAAAGGAAAACAACAAGCGCGCAAGGGTGTCGCACAACCGGGAAGACAAAAGTCGATAGCATGGCTTCCACAAGAAGAGCTAGTTTTGGTAAAAGCTTGGGTTGACATTTCTGAGGACTCGAAGACGGGAAATGCACAACCGGGAAAGCATTTTTGGTTTCGCATTTTAGAACGGTTTCGGGAGGAGCTAGAAAAAGATGACAACTACCGTACGAAACACCAACTGAATTCGAAGTTTCGAGAAATAGCAAAGGTGGTTTAAAAAATTAACGGGTTGTACAACAACCTAAAAACCCAACGAAAAAGCGGCCAAGGCGACGAAGAAATACTTCAAGAAGCTTTGCAATTTTACCTTGAGGAAGTCGGAAAACCATTCAAGTGGCATGATTGTTGGAAATTATTGGTTAGATGTCCTAGGTGGAAAAAATACGAGCAAGATTTTATTTTTGGAGTACAACAATCAAAGCGAACGAAAACGGGCTCTAGTGGTTACACAACTTCCTCCGATGCTCAGGTCGGTCTAGGTTTCAATCAGGAGGACGAACTCGAGCTAGAAGAAATTGTCTGACCGATGGGTAGGGACAGAGCAAAGAGGAAGAGAAAAAGAGACTTCTTCGGGTGCATTGGATTTCAACATGGACGTTGAGGAAATGCGGAAAATAACAGCGTTGTTTGATCGATATAATCTTAATTTCTCTGAACGTTTGACGTTCGACAAAGAAAAAGAAGAAGCTAGGAAGAAGGAGCACACGGAGAAACAAGAAATGGAGGATATGAAGTTCTTGATGGAACACACCGACCATCTCTCGGGACCGGCTTTCGAGTTCGTGATGAAGAAGAGGGAAAAATTATGAAAAAAATATTTTCCATAGGTTGTTGGTTTGTTTGATTTTTTCTTTATGTTTTTTTTTTTAATTTTCTACTTTTTTAAATCTTAGGTTTATTGTAATTTTTATTTTAATTATTGAAATGCGTTTTCTTTTTAATTAAATTTTTTGGTTGTTATTAGTTTAAAAATTATAAATCATAAAAATCAATTAATTTTATTTAAAAAAAAAATAGTGAGTGAAACTTTCCACCCATTTCTTGGGAGTAGGTGAGGGAAAGAAAAGTGAAGGAAATGGTGATGTACCCACAAAAAATGAGAGAAGTTTCCCACACACAACCTCCGGCCTAACAAGGATCTAAGTGAAAAATACAACTACTTAATGTTTAAAGATCCGTCGACACTTTAAATTAAATCAACCAATCAAATTTGAAATTAAAATAAATAAGGTGGGGTAGGTTAGTATTGAGTTTTGACATGGGTTAGGTTGAGGTGGGTATTATGATAAATTGAAAAGGATTTAAAACCATTAGATATGCAGTTACCATATATAGATTATTTAATTATTAAGAAAACTACAAATTTTGTTCATGTGATTTGAATGATATTTTATTATTAACAAAATTAGATCTTATGAAAAGGATTAAATTTGCAGTTTTAAAATCACGAAAACTATAATCATAGAAATCGGCAAACTATACACATACCAAATTTATGGTTTTCTCTTTACCATTTAACATAGTATAAAATTTGAAAGATATTAAGAAGGAAACTAAAAAAATTTTACATCACATTAGTTGTAAACCAATAAACAACAAGAGAGGAATTTTATATATTTGATCAGATCGTCGGGATATAAATTCATCTGTATATATATTAACAACTTATTCTAAATTATATTATCAAAATTTTATATATTTTATTTGATTATAAACATATAATATAAATTTTTTACATTGATTTAGAAAATAACGTTTTAAAATAAACTTTATTGAAAATATGTTTACACTATTTCTTAATTGTAAAAAAATATTATTCTTACTTAAAATGATATGATAAATACTATTATGATAATCCCTATTCTAATAAATGAATAGTTTTAATCTCTTTTGCCAAGTGTCATTATAATACAACTCATTACTAATATTATGTCATGTGTCATGTAGATATATTAGACAATTCATTTCAAAATTCAAATTTATATTTTCTAATTGTATGTTAAATTTGAAATTATAATAACTTTAAAATTTTGATATATCTTTTAGTTAATAATTTATTTAAAATGATTTATTTAAAATAATTGATTAATAATTATAAATTTTTATTATGAAAATTTAATTAATTTTATAACCGTGATTCCCACAAGTTATAAACTAGTGTGTTTAATAAAATTAGCTTGCAACTGAAACGGTAGTAAATTAGTTGTTAATTTTTAAAGTTGTAAAATTACATTAAATCTAAAAACTAGTTTAAACAATTTTTGGAAATAGAGTACAATATTTAAGATCAAAACCGGAGTTTTTTTTTTTTTTTTTTTTTTTCTTTTTTTAAGCTATTTAAAAAATAATAATAATAATTAAAAATAATAACTAAAAGCTACTTTATAGCTTAAGGAAGTCGTCATTTATTTGGATTAAAATACAAGAACAAATATATAAAATATACCACACGATATAAAAAAAAAATTAAATAATTGAAATGCATGAAAAAAAAAAAAGATTAGGTGGCCTTTGTAAACGACGTAATCGTGACGGGCGTCCCGAGTGCAGAAAATTTCCCGATGTCCACCGTAAGCGTATCGTATCGGAGAAAAAGCTCCACCAACATCAGCCTGCAGCACAGCACCACCAGGTCCTTCGCCGGACATTGTTTGTTCTCTGCCGATGGTTGTTCTGTTTCTCTAGCATTCGACCAGTACACATAATTTATCAGCTTCTCTCCCTCTCCGACGAACCTGTCGGCGATGAAATCATCTGGATTCTCAAACACCTTCGGATCCTTGGTGGCTAGCGGCTGATATCCGAAGATAATCTCTCCTTTCTTAATCTGAAACGCCGCGTCGTGGCTCTCCACCACAATCTCCTCCCTGGCTTTGGCGTATTGGAACTGAACAGGTGGATCGATTCTCAAAGTCTCATAAACAGCGGATTTAGTCAACGGCATCTTCTCCAAGGCAGAGAAAGTGATGTCTCCTTCTTCCTTAACGACGGCTCTGATTTCTTCAGCAAGGCGGCGGTGTAAACTCTCTCCGCCGGATCCGATCCACTTTATTAGAGTCGGAAACAGAACTTTCATCCCGCCGAACGCGTTAAACCCTGTCAGAAACACCAAATTATGGCAAGCTTCCTCTCGTTTCATACCCAACTTTTCAGCTTCATCCAGTAACAGCGACGCAGAATCAAAAACGGCATTGTAAAGCTTCTTGTATCCAGATTTGATCAAGAAAAACGGCAACCGAACTGTGTGGATGATGTCTTCGAGGAAACCCGGAACGTATTTAAGCCCTGCTGTTCCTAACGGAGCTAGCTGAAGAGCTAACCAGGTGGTGATGATTCCAGGACCTTTCGAGTTGAGCTTCGTCTCAGACGGAAGAACTCCGGTGACAAGCTTGAACACAAAGTCAAACGCCAGGTTATCACTGTGCTTATTAAAATCAGCGGATTTCTTATCTGTGATCTCATTTTCGAGATTCTCAAAGAGTTCCGACAAACTCGTCCGGAGATATGGAATAAACTTCTTGTGCGAAGAAGCGAGGAACGAGAGGAAGAAGGATTTGAGAGCATGGTGATTAGATTCGGTGGTGTCCAGGAAAGCGCAGACTCGGTAACCACCGAAGAAGGAGGTGGAAGGCATGTAGGTGCCATCGAGAATGTTTTTCTTTTCGACTTTATCGTTGTTGAAGAGGATGGTGAAGCTTTTGGAATCAAGGACGGCGACGACTTTAGAATTGGAGGAGATGAATGGCCCCGGCGGCATGTTGGTGCGGAATACGGTGGAGTTGTACTTCTTGATTCTGGATTTGAAGAACTCGTCCTGGCCTTGGTTGTAAAAGTAGTGGTAGCGATCCTTGATCGGTCCGAAGAAAGGCAGGCCATAGCTGCCGGGTATTTCTCGCAAGGAGAGTTGCGATGAGGATGCAGGGTGATCGGAAGAAGATGAAGCCATGGCTAAGTTTGAAGTAACCAATTAGAGGTGCGAGGTTGGTTTCTTTGCTTTATAAATGAACCAGCTGACTCATGCAACTTTTCAGTATATATATATATATATATATATATATATATATATATATATATATATATATATATATATATATATATATATATACACTAAAAAACTCATAAGGTTTACTAAAGTAATAAAAGACAAAACTTATAAGGTTTACTAAAGTAATGAAAGACAAAACAATTGATTCATTACAATTGTTGAAATCCCTATGCGTTTTGTATATATTCTGTATATGTTTGTTTAACGGCATTAAATAAAAAAACTAAGTAGCAAGATGTTAGCTGATTACAAAGTACAAGATATATAAAAAGGATTACATATTTATACCAATCCAACCAACATAAATTAGAGAACTTAGTACGATATTTTATCCACTTAGATACCACAAGGTGTAATTCATCCGGCGTCTTCAATGGAGCACATCTCATTTTTTTTAACACCAACGGGCTTTCCAAATGAACCAAAACACCAATTAAGGTCCTTGCATTTTTGTTACCACACGCCTTTTCATCTAACAAACGCCTCATAGAGGACACATAGAACATACCTGAACTATCCCCAATCCATTTCCAAGAATCAGCTGCATCAGTGAGTCTAACATCATCCAAAGCAGTCGAAAGATTCAGCAGGGCATCCGATTCACGACCTCTCCTAGGTTGTGTATACCATCTCCGATTTGAAGCAGTTGTTCCCGTTCCTTCAATTCGATCACTGACTTTGCAATTTTTGTTTGATTCCATTTTATACAGCTCTAGAAACGAGTATTTGAGAGACAACTCATCATTCCATTTATTTTTCCAAAAATAAGTATCACTATTAGAAAACAACCCTTTAATGACACACATTGTGTGTCATAAAGGGGTATAGATAACACGCGAATGCGTGTCATTAAAGACTCTATCATAAAGGAAGATGACACACATTTGCATGTCATAAGCTTACAAAACACATCTATGATACACATTTATTGTTATTAAAGTCCTTGTCATAAAGGAACACGACACACATTTTTGTGTGTCATAATTTTAAGTGTTTAATATATATATATATATATATATATATATATATATATATATATATATATTATATATATATATATAATTTTAATAGTTTTACTAATTTTCAAATTAAATAACACATTTAAAGTCTCATAATACAAAATAAAATATCATACACAAGAAAGATAATTCATTACGCAAAATATAACATGTCAAATACAAATAATCATTTCAATGGTAAATAAATATAATAAATTGCTAATATTGCACAAAATTTTACTATAGAAAAACAAATAACAACATTAAAAGGAACACGTGGGTAGGTTCTCATATGATAGTCTCCATTGTAGATTTACATGTGATATCACATAGTATATTCACATGTGATATTACATGGTATATTCATATTTGAATATTAATATTATATGGTAGATTCACATATGAATATTATATGGCATATTCACTTGTGAATATTGCACATTATATTGACATTTGAACAGGGGCGACTCAACCACTTTGGGGGCTCTAAGAAAACCAAAATTTTGTGGCCCTTTGGTCTTTACTCTACTTAATGTTATAAACCATCCTCGTTTATCCGAGCTTGTGACCCTTTGGCCTTTACTCTACACAGCGAGTCAGTGACACTTAAGTTCTTGATGGCCTTGAGAATAGAAGATAATGGAAAACTTAAACCTGAAAATTCAAATTCATTCCAAGTTCCAACCCCGAGTCTCTGAAAATGAAAAAAATTAAGTCCATTCAAACTAGAATCATTAGTATACACATGGCAGGGCATGAGTCAATGTAGGGAACAAAAGCAATAGAAAGATAAAGAACCAACATAATCCAGAGATAGCATAATCAGCCAGCCATACACGAACATAAACAAGCAACCAAAGCAACCGGTAGCCATACTCCAAATGAAGAACCAATGACAGTAATGAATGGTCTGTTGTTTTTTACTCCATTATCGTTGATAGTACAAAAGAAGAAGCTGATAGACAACACATTCCTCTCTGATTTTTTCAGAACCTTAGCCAATTATATATTTCAGTATAAAGATTATATAGTTTAAACTCATCAAACCAACTAATATAATTGACTTAAAAATCAATCAAGTAAAATTTTAGTGAAATCCAAAAATATCATGTGAAATACAACTTCAACCAAGTGGTTCTCCCTGTAAAACAAGGTCTTGGATCCACAACATCTTACATGTTTGGATTATTTCATTATTGGTAGATTCAAAAACTACACCCTAAATATTTGAAAAGAAAAGATCAACCTCAACTAAATCTGACAATATCATCTGAAATACAACTTCAACCAAGTGGTTCTCCCGGTAAAACAAGGTCTTAGTGATGGGTTTTGAGCATTCTAACACTCCTAAGGTGTACATGCAACCCTAAATACCTTGGATCTATGTTTTCTCTATTATACATGCAAATATCAATTTTCCAAGGTATTACCCTAACTAGCATACAATCATATGTACTAGGATAACAAAACTAGATAGAATACATACCTCTTTGTTGTAGCTTGATTCCATGGAGCTTAAGAGCCTAGTGCCTCAAGTGTGACTGTAACATCCCGGAATTCAGGTATATCTCTTTGATCATTTTCTTTCCTCAAGTTTCCAAAATTAGTCCTTGAATAGAATGTTTGGCTTTCGAGTACGTTGGGCGTAAGGGAGAGTACGTTGCGCGTACTCATGAGCGTATTCTTGACGCGAAGTCTACCCAGTACGCTGGGCGTACCATAGTGTACGCTGGGCGTACTAGGTTCAGATTGAAACCCTAATTGTAGGGGTGAGCCCTATATAAGGAACATTATGGCCTCAATTTTAGCCACCATTTCTAGAGAGCAAAACCCTAAGTGTGCCCTAACCCTCGTTCTAGAGCTTGTGTGAGTGAGGTTGAGCTTGAACGTGTTCTTGTGTGCTTTTGAAGAGAAGGAGGTGCCATTGAAGGAGCTAGAGTTGGAGGGCAAGATTTGGATCTGAACTTTCTGAGGTTGGAGCATTATTTGGAGGTAAAAAGCTCAAAGCTTTCTCAACCTTTTTGATTTGAGCTTTATGGACCATTTCTAGGGTTTTTGTCCCAAAGGTGGAGACTTTATGAGTAAAGGAGCTCCATAAGACCTTGATCTGTCCATTTTCAGTGTATAAAGTGTTATAGATCCATAAAAATCCAGTCTTGAACGTTAGGAGTGAGCCATGCATGAGATATGAGCTCTTTAGTGAAGGAAGTGGTGTGTTTTGGATGATGTTGACCATTACAGCCATGCAAAAGCGTAAAGTCTTCGACTTTATGGATTAGGAGGCTGTAGGGGGTCCAGATCTGTATTTTGAGCCAAGGTCTTAACTGATTAAGACCATAAGTGAGATAATAGTGAAACTGGGACGTACGCTGAGCGTAAATCCCAGTACGCGGGGCATAGGGCTCAATCAGCCCGATATCAGCATAGCGGTCGGGTACGCCCAACGTAGGAATCTGGTACGCGCCGCGTACTCCTTAGGGTTGAATTTTGTTGACTTTTAGGGTTTAGTCAACAAATGGACCTTTGGACCATTGGAGGGGTAGAATGGTCTTTTACCCTTCTGAGAGAGTATAGGAAGGGATTAGTCTAGCCTTTGAGAGCCTTTATTAAGTAGAGATATTTTATGTATGTGATTAGGCGGAGGCTAGACCGGGAATTTGAGTCCGAGATTATTCCAAGATAGTTCGAGGTGAGTCTTCTCACTATACCTTACCTAGAGTGGTACTTATGTGTGACCGGAAGGTCGTATGTGTTTATATGTGATATGTTATATATGTTTTATGTGATATGCTATGATATGATTCGCCTGGTTCGGACCGGAAGGTCGACAGGGTTTGGACCGGAAGGTCATCAGAGTTGGGCCGGAAGGTCAACAGAGTTGGGCCGGAAGGTCAACAGAGAAGGACCGGAAGGTCATCAGGGTAGGGCCGGAAGGTCTACCAGAGTTGTGGAGCCGGAAGGTCCAATGAGACACATTGACCGGAAGGTCACATAGAACTATAGCCTCGAGTGGCTAATTTATATGCATGTGGTATTTTGGGGAACTCACTAAGCATTCGTGCTTACCGTGTTATGTGTTATGTGTTTCAGGTCCTTCCGAGGATCGTGGGAAGGCACCGGCGTGATTGTACACACACTCTTGATGTTGAACTATGATTGTGGATCCTGGATTGAATAATTGTGTTGAAAACTTGTTGGTTGTTTTTTTGAGAATTAATGATGTGACATTTGTTATGAATTTTAAATTGGAAAATTTTGTTTGAAAAATCATGTCATTACAGTGACACCTCAAATGGTTCACACAACATCATCAACATTTGGAATAACCATGAGAAGAGATACTTGACTCTTAGAAATCGGCTTGCCCTCTTGTGTATGCCCTAGTACCAATTTCACCAACCAATGGAGTCTTTATATAGTGTGGCTATTAGGGTTACACCATGTAACTCATGACTTTACCCATTCCTTATGCTCCATGGGTTTTAACCTCCATGGAGTATTCATGGATCACTCTATGGGTTTTGCCCAACATAAGGAATCATGGATCATAAGCCCACATATATAAGAATGAATGCTTTACACAATCAATCCCCATATATTTAATTAGTCTCTTTTGATCACTAAATTAATTCCAAATTAATTCTTGATCAATACTAATTAAATAATATGACTTCATATTAATATATTAGAACTTATAATATATTAATATGTCAAAAATATCCTCTTCTCACAAAAGGTCTATCCAAATGTCCCGATGCCATGCAACCCAAATGGACCATGCCGGGTCGGGTCAAGTATATACCAATTATAGTTATTGACTTAGACACTAATCCAACACTTGAATCCTCCGTATCTCACAAATTTGGATTACTTCATTAGTGGTGTATTGAAATCTAAGTAATC